GCGCGCAGCACGGGCGCCAGCCAGGCGCGCGCCGCGGCCGACGGCTGCAGGCTGCGGGCGCCCGGCTCCTCCAGGAAGACGAGCAGCGGCTGCCGGCTCCTCAGCACCTCCGCCACGAACTGCCGGGGCACACACGGACACGGCGGCGCTGCCCCGGTTGCCCCGGCAAGGCGGCCGCCGCGCTGCCCGGTCCCGCTTACCGCAGTGAGCACGGCCGCCGCCAGCTCCCGCTCCGGCGCGCTCGGCAGGAACACGGCGCCCAGGCGGCGCAGCAGGGCCCTGCGGGGCAGGCAACAGCGGGAGCACCGGCGGCACCGGCCGCCTTCACCCCAGCTCGGCTAAGCCCGGCGGTGCCGAGCGCCGCGCCGGCGCGGGGAGCCCCTCACCGGAGGCGCGGGCTGCAGGCCGAGCCGCTCACGGTCACCCTGGGCACCCCCAGGCCCCGGGAGAAGAGCAGCAGGGAGAGCAGCAGCCCGTCCAGGCGCGACTTGTGCACGGAGAGGAAGACGAGCGGCGGGCCGGGCTGCGGGCGGGCGCGAGGCCGCGGTGAGCGCCGGGCGCGCGGGGCGGCACGGGGCGGGCGCCGCGCTCCTCACCGCGCGCGCCGCCCTCAGCACCGTCTCCAGCTGCCCGCGGTGCAGCTGCACGCTGCGGAAGAGGCGGCCCAGCAGGCGCAGCAGGGCCCAGGCGCAGAGCCTGCGAACGGGACGGGATGGCACGGCGCGGGTCGGGACGGGACCGGGAGCGCCACGTGCCAGCGGCGCCTGGTGCCGCCTCCCCCTGGCTCCCAACCTGCACATAAACAGCTCCACTAGGAACCAAGCGACATCCTTCAAGGTTGGATGTGACAAATCGGCCCCCCTTCCTCCCCGCCCCAGCTGACAGGAGCTCTCAATCCATCCCCCTTCCATCTCCCCCGTCCGCCCCCGGGCTGTTTACGGGAAGGATTCGAGYGCTTTTATCCCCTGGGCAATTTCTTCCCTTTAAATACTTTAGGCTGCTCCAGGGCTCTTTTATTACAGCTCAATCAGACAGGCAATTAGGCTACACTGCAACCTTTAATTGCCAATTTCTCAATGACAGGAGGGGAAGAGAAAATGGGAGTGAGGGAAGGAAGGGAAATGTTCCCCTCYGCTTCACTTTCCGCCCCCTCAGCGGGTTTTTTCCCCCCCTTTCTGCTCCGCTCCCGGGTTGTATCCAGCAGTGAAAACACCATGGAGGGCTCCGAGGAGCATCAAGGTGTTGGGCTGTGTCCCAGATCCCCTGGTTTTGCTCCCAGCCCTTGGATCCAAGCCGGGAATGGCCTGGGAGCGTYGGCCACCCCCCTTGTGACAGGCACCATGATGAGGGTCCCGGGGAGGGGAACAGGGCTGGGAAGCAGGGACACACCGGGACCAGGATCCCTCAACCTGGGAATGCCCGGGGGGATGGATCGGAGCCCGAATCGGGGCACAAACCTCAGCAGGAAACGCGAGAGCGGGGCCTGAATCTGGGCGAGGATGCGGAGCGCTCCGTCCCTGCGCCGCAGCGGGGCTCCGGCGACGTCCTGCACCCTGCGAGGC